CGGCGGCGGGGAAGGCCGGCGCGATTGTTGGAGCTTTTGGGTTTTTGTATGCGGCTCAGAGCCAGGACCGGTCCAAGACTGACGCTGGATACCCGACCGGGATCGGGATGAGGAATTCTCTGATTATATTGGGCGTAATTAATTTCGTTGGGTTGCTCTTCACTTTTCTGGTTCCAGAATCTAAAGGAAAATCGCTGGAAGAAATGTCCAAGGAGAATGAAGTAGAAGAACAACAACGACGCAATGGAGTTGGGATGGTTTAAGCATTTTTTTTGTTTTTTGTTATTAGGATTAGCGATTATTCTTATTTCATTCGATTTAGATTAATGAGAAGTATCTACATATTCTATGGAATTGATTATATTTTAGATTTCAATTTTTTATTTTATTTTACTAATGAGGTTCACTGAATTTGATTGATCCATTAAGTGTCAGCCATGAAAGTATTTTTGAAAAATTAGTAAAGAACAAAGTTTCATCAAGTTCACTTCATAATTAAACATTTATAACTAATCAAGGCTTTCAAAATTTAAATGATGAATATAAGTATTATTTATGCATGTTTTTAAAAGGAAAATAATTTATTTATTTATGTCATCATAATTGATCATCGAAAGATTAAAAGATTTATTACATTTTAAAAAATAAGCTATTGGAAAAATATTTAAAAATAAAGTTAAAAACACAATCTTTAAATTTTGAAAAGTGAATGATAAAATAGGATTAGTATAAAAAAAACAAAGGACAAAATGGAAGTATATATTAAAAAAGTGAAAGAATCTTCACATTTCAATTTAATATTTATTAAGCTGGTAAATATTTAAAAATGTCAAATAGATCATAGATTAATTATATACAAAATTGAAAGTACTACACAAAAATTAATAATTGATAGTTTAAAATGTCATTAGACACTTTTTATAATTTAATAACATAATATACCATTCTTAAAATTCTTTAACCTAATCACAATTATGAAAAATGTAAAAATCATAATGAAGATGGACGAAAAAGATGCAAAGAGTAAGAAATCATAGCGAACACATTAAGACATATTTCATATTTCCTCGAGCAAATAGTAAGACCTCACGCAACTCTCATGTGGAAAGTGGCTGCATGAGGAAGTTGTCACGTCAACTTATTATTCTTATTATTTAATTGATAACTAATATGGAAACATATGAATAATTATAATTAATCCAATAAATTAAATTAGGTTTGAATATGATTTTAATCTATCTACTTTTAGCTTTGAATTATTTTAATCCATATATTTTTAAAATGTTCATTTTAACTAATATACTTTTAAATTTAGTTCATTTTAGTTATTATATTTTTAAAATATGACAATTTTAATCTATATTTACAAAATTTTAATATAAATTATAAACCTAATGAAAACATATAAAGTCATAGTTTCATTTCAAGAAACATATTAAGTGTAGTGTCGTGAAAAAATTATGATAAAAAATGATATTAAAAATAAAATTAAGAGAACCAAAATTATAAAAAATAAGCAGAAATTAAAAGTACATAGATTAAAATAAACATTTTAAAATATAATAAACAAAATAAACTAAAGGGGAAAGTAAATTGACCAATCTTAACCCATAAATTAATATGTTTGTAAAAGTAACCTAAAACAAAACATGAGTTTATAGGAAAATTACTAAAAATAAGAGAAAATGTGCGTAATTTATTTACGAGAGAATTTGTTTGAAAAAGAATTAAGATAGAATTAAAAAGGAAAAGCAGGAGAAAAATAGAAATATCAATGCTAGAATTTCTGGGCATAAGCTACAAACACGGAAGCCGGCCCGAATGAGACTTGTTCGCGTTCCCCGTGAAATCTGAAACAAAAACTACCATCTCGAAGGGCCCCACCGCGGACCCAATCAGGGCCCTTCAAATTACGGTCCCACGTGTCAGATGGAGAGATGAACAGTGATTGGGGGAGGTAGAAAATTTTGATCGGTTGTGGCGGAGGGTCAAAATGTGGTACGGCCTACATGGGATCGTTTCCGTTTTTG